GTCGGCGGATTTTCTTGCTTTCCTCGCCCCCGATATACTGCTCTTCAACAAAAATTTGACTTTTCAGTTTTAAATGGTACCTCAAAATTATCGTGAACTGTGCCTTTGATCTTTTCAATATGGATTCGATCCCAGGCGATGTGATGAGGCAGAGATAGCCATTCGCTTACCTCCCTAATAATCAACTGTTGGGATGGCTCACTGAATTGGAAGTTTGAGGAAATTAAAAAAAATCGGCGAGGGGTGGCGTAGTGTGAATGGGTATTGCCAGATGTATGGTTTCGAAACCCTACACGGACTCCTGTCAGGCCCTTGAGCCTTCCACCCACTCGGGGTAGGTTAGCATTTACCAGACTCTGTGAGAGTCAAATCGCTGACGAATCTGGAGAGCTTCGATAATTTATTGTACCGGCCACATACACACACAAGTATCGAGTACTGATTCTGGATGTACGTCGGATTCATAGGAGATCCTGAACAGGAGTGAGCAACGGAAAAAATATTATTCTATTCCAACCTAAACCCCCTTGTCCCAACTCCCGCACTTTCTTGCCTCCTGTCCTATGGCTGTTTGCCTTATGAGACCAATATCGCTATCCAACTCATTTTCCTTATTATCGTATTTCATTTTTTCACACAATTCAATTCAAAATATCACTAGACTTCCATTTTTTATGGCTTCTATTTGAACCACCGGCTCTCCACCTAATATACGTTTTTTGCCCGCCATCCTAACCTAATCGTAAGTGCAGCTTGGAGTGTACCGATACCGTAATCCGACGAAATTGCCCTGATAATGGAAAAAAATTTTTCTGCAAGGGTAGTACGCTTCTTTCACTGGTTCTGGTATGTGGGCGTCCTCCTCAACATATTCCTCACTGATCTATCATTCAGATGTGAATACTTTCGGAAGTCTGCAAGCTCTATCATATACTGGTAGACAAATCGTCTACAGATTCCTTTGTTCTGTATAGATTCCTGTGAGAAGTTTGCCCCATGGTGGTAGGTCGACCTATCCGAGAGGAAATATGACCGGGAAAGAATAGAAAATATGAGTATAACTAATATACGGTTCGTGCTCAACATCCTAAGGTAATCGCAAGTGCAGCTTTTGGTGTAACCGATACCTTAACCCCGTCGCGCTTGCCTGATTCAGTCTATCTTCAGTTTTCTGATTCAGGGGACATTCGGCATCTATCCCTTTTCCCTCGTTCTCCTCTTTGACTACATAGCTGTTCCTCATCGTCGTTTCCCACCGAGAATGTTATAACAACTGCACGATAAAATTGCTTGAAGGCATTGCTCCTAAGCCAAAAACAAAGAACAGATGACTTGATGACAGACAGACAGACAGACAGACAGACAGACAGACAGACAGACAACAGATGACTTGATTTACATATATTTTGCTTCTATGCAATGTGTTTCGCTCAAGAAAAAAAGTTTACGGTAGAGTAAAGCTATGTTGAATCAAAAAAGCAACGCGAAGGGTTGATGCACTCACGAGATGCTGAAGTCGGTACAAAGAAACTTAAACGCTCGGGTGAAACTGATCTGACCATGTGGTCAAGTAAGAACTCTGGGTAAAAACCAAAGGAGGAATACTTCGAAGGATCAGTGTCGGAGTGGGATACATGTCCTCAAGATGTCTCTCTTCTGTAAGTCGAAATAATAATCTTCGACGGCAATAACTTTTTGCCTTCTTGCTGATTTAATTCGTAATTGTTTAATTTTGTTTCTTTGTTTATTACTGTAGCTCAACTTAGTGCGTACATTAAGTAAATAAAAAGATAAACTGCTCGGGTATTAGTCGCTCATTAGAAAGTGCCACTGTCCAGCCGAAGACAGAAGAAAGTAGAGTTGATAAGGTCAATAGAATGATGAAAAACCTGTGATAATATCGGAAAATTTGAGAATCAGAAGAGAAAATAGAAGGATAAACGCTGTCTGGGCCCACCTAAACGTAGCACCACGGCCCAAATAGGAATCCAAATAGGATTATTGCGAAGTGCGTCAGATCCTGAGACGCCTTCCGTGACAACTCCAGACAGCTATCATGCGGCGACAAGGGCATCATCAGTGAATTTCTTCGTTGCAATTGCCAATGCCTCTCTATACTAGTAGCTATTTTATGCGGTCGTGTGGTTCACGTTTCACGGAACCTCAAACTTGGGTAATTAAACCTTTATAAGAACATATACACAATACAAGCAAAAGACATACATATAAACCAAGGCATATAGGGGGGCTTACATACGGAGCATTTCCTCTCTATTCGAAGCGATAGTCAAAATAATGTATGACAAAACAATGGAGCCATCAAAACATTCGTTTCTTCTACGAGACAAAACAAGGGCAATTTCTGTAGCAGTATTATCTGCTATACTCCCCAAGGCAACTAAGCGAGTTCTCAATCATCTTCTTCATGCGATGAGTTTGAGCGTCGGTTACGATGGAATTTTTCGTGTTCTCGTCGTGTTGACACACTACATTGCATATTGTCGTGCTCTCTGTCGCCTCGTGATGATTCACTGCGTCGAGCGTTTTGCGATCTATCATCATATTGACTTTGTCGTCTTCTGTCTTCTGATATTGGAGGCTCCGCTGTATAAAGGTTGGTCGATATTTTCTTCAATTGACTTGTCATTGAATCAACTTTTCTTTCTAGCTCATTCATGCATTTTGAAAACATCTCCTTGAGATCGTCACCCTTAGCGCACTGCGCGACATTTTTTCAGTTATATCGGACACTTTTGCGCTATCTTTTACTGCGTCTTCTAGTCTCCGCAACACTGTTCCTCCTTTCATTGACGATCCGACACTAGCTAAAATAATGGCCAAAAAAGGGATACGTTCCGTGGCAGGGAACTTTTTACAAACGACTGATCAAATCCATCAAGTACTTCCTCTATAACGTCATGAGTGGAACTCAAATGACTAGTGAAGAACTTGAATCACTTCTTGTCGAGAAGGAAGCAAGCCTAAACAGTCGCCAACTCACATATAAAGAGGAGAATTTTGAAGAAATTCCAATATTACGAGCAATCGATTTTATCCAGCGCGATATTATCGTAACATATGCATTCGAAACAGAAAGTGAAGAAAATGGCGACTCCTCATATTCACCTTCAGAAAAGCTTGTCCTACTTCAGACCCGCAAGCAAACGGAAGCTGCTCTCAAATCTAGTCATAGGAACACAGAACGCTTCTGGAGAATATGGAACAAATACTACCTGAGCAGCTTGCGAGAATGTCACAACCTAACCATGGACGGTAACACAGGGCAAAAATCGATACCGTCGAAAGACAAGGTAGTTCTTATAGCCGATCTTATTCTCCCCAGAAATACATGGAAAATCGGAAGAATCTCTGATGCGAAAATTTTCCACAATAACGTGATTCGAGAAGTCGAAGTCAGACTTCCAAACGGTCGAAAAATAAGACGCCCAGTGAATCTGCTTGTACTACTGGGAATAGGAGACGCCGACGATCGTGCACAAACGACCAAAAATAAGGAAGACCTCGGAGATAACAGTGAGAAAATGACCACAAACGGTGAGCGTGAAGGCGACGGAATTGCTACACCACCTCCACGTTACAACCTTCGGCCTCGCAAAATGACTCTTGAAAATGACTCACATAAAAATCAATCCACGTCACTCGCAACTAGCCTTCTTATCATGAGTATTTTTCAACTTTTGCTACCTACGGCGGCCACCCTCTTCCAAAATCCGCACAACGCCAGCATAAAATGCTCAGATGAAAACATCGAACTGAAATCTACGAACGTAAAATGATACGAACTATGCATTGAAGAAATGTGCTCAATCAAAGAAAATCCGCCGTCACGGGAAGTTTTAAATATCGAACCAAAGATAACCCTTCATCAACACACCGTAAGATGGAAAATTACGGACGGAAAAGAAGTGCTCATGATTGAAAAAACATGTGCCTCAGCTCCGTTCTGCCAGAAACTCAACTGTTGGATATGTACCGCCAACATTCTCAACCCCCACTGCTCTCCGAAAGCTGCTATAATAGCAGCAACCATAGTCATCTATTTAATTACCGCGTCGATATACGTGGCATATCAAAACATTCGCTTGATAACAAGACCATGCCAAATAACTCTCAGAATTCTCTTCTCACTTCACATGATGTTTCCTTCATTTCTACGATGTCTATTCACATCGCTGAAAGAAAGGAAAGGAAGACGCTACTCAGAGAACCGAACAAGGCATGATATCAGTTCAATCTTGAATACACCCATTATCGCAATAGCAATAGTGGGAATCGTCTATCAAACGGAAGCCTGTCAAGAAATCAATGTCTTCACTCATCATACGAGATCTTGTTCCTTATCACCAAAGGAGGACAACTTTGTAAAATCACACTTAACGAAGTTCTCAAACTGAATACCTTCAACCAAGAAGCGTGCATTCGCCTCATCAGCAACAAGACCATGGTACAAGAACTACGCTTCAAATGGAAAGGTCTTCATCTAACGTGCGTCAAAGAGAACATCATGTTCACGCGACATACGAAACAAGAAGTCATTGACTCAAAAAGGTGCGCACACACGGTGTCATGTGTGGATAAGAAATGCGAACAAATCCTTCACACAGAATCAAATCCCCGAGCTCCATGAAGGAAGCGTCTTTCCTGGCAAGCTGCGGTGGTCTAGGATGTGGATGCTTCTACTTCAGCAGCAGATGCTTATTTTATCGCATATACAATGTACTCCAAGACAGTCGAGTATATGAATTGTTTAAATGTCCTCATTGGGAAGAAGAAGTCAAAATCCAAATTTCCGTTGTCACCCCACGAAGCGTAAAAAGAATGTCTATATCACTGAAACCGATAATGTCGGGAAAACGAGGATTACATCTACATCGATCTCAACACCGCCGCATCCAGTATTGTCAGCTGCGTTCGTTTCGAATGGAGAAAAGATAGTAATCTGGACTAGAGACGTGAAGCCCAATTTATTATGTGGATCCATGAAAGCGGCTAGAGGACTTTACTGCACGGTCAACTGCGTCTGTCAACCTGCAGAGAACAAAGTTAATTGTGTTTGCTACGACCCTGATATCGCAGGCATCTTCACTAAAGAAGTTGAAAACCGTCTACCAATAGTGCGCTACTGGATCACATTGAAGGAGAGCGATTCGAACGCCTCTTCCGTTCTCGCTGTCATACCAACATTCGTCACTGCAGACGTGATCATTCAACTTGATGATCAAATAGACAAAGTGAAACAATAGTTTCGAATGCCGACTGTGTGATACAAAACACAATCGCTACAGGATGTTATAACTGCTTTCGCGGGCAGTGGCAAAAGTCAGTCGTATCACAACAGAAGAAGCGACATTGGCCACTGTGGAATGCGACAACGATTTCTTCACAATTCCATGTCACAAAGGCGGAATTGAGTCTACACTCAGATTTTATCATACGGAAGCCAAGAACAAAAAAGTATGCCAAGTGTCATGCGGTACCATGAAGGGTACCTTCGAAATAACAGGTGTACTACAGTCGACACAAACTATCCATGACTCAGCGAGAAAAATCCTCAAAAGAGAAAGCAGTGTGTGCAATGAACTTACAATTCCGGACTTCAAACACATTTTCGAAGTTCTGAGTCAATGGTACAAGGAATTTGCCATCGCTGCAGCCGCTTTAATAGTAGCATTAATAGCAGGATACTTATTCGCTTGGTCCTATGGACTACGACTCCTTTGCATCACCATCCGCCTCCTATGGCTTCCTATACGCCTAACTACAGCATGTTTACGAACAGTTCTCTATTTGACATACCGCTGCATGCATTCGCAAGAAAAAACTCCATTGAAGAACCTATAGCTTTGCCGAAACTTCATTTTGCTACATGCCTTCGCTTCATTTCCGCACGTTTTTCGTCATCTACTTCTGTTTAACTAATACTCTTTTTCTTCAGCACGTCTACAAAGGAAGATGGAGCCAATCAGGAAAGTACAATCATTGTCAAACCAGAGATGTCAAGTTCCCCATCAAAGCGTCATTCTGTCATCGTCAGTAAGCTACTATCTCCGGAAAGGTCACGCTCGGGAGCAGGCCCGCTGAGGATTTTTCTCCTACAAGGAAGCAAACTTCTCGAGGAAACCGCTGATGCTCTTCAACAGTCTAATGGAATGGCGCAAATCACCGACACTCTCAAAACAATAGAAAATGGAATGCTGCGCTCAATCTCTAAGAATACGATGTCGACGATCGCCAAGATGGAAAGCCTCGAGAAACGCATTATGAGATGAGAAGACGCAGTAAAAGATAACGCAAAAGTGTCCGATATAACTGAAACAAATGCCGCGCAGTGTGCCAAGGGTGACCATCTCAAAGAGAAGTTTTCGAAATGCATGAATGAGCTGCAAAGAAAAGTTGATTCAATGACAAGACAATTGAAGAAAATATCGACCAACCTTTATACAGCGGAGCCTCCAATATCAGAAGACAGAAGACGACGAAGTCAATATGATGATAGATCGCAAAACGCTCGACGCAGTGAATCATCACGAGGCGACAGAGAGCACGACAATATGCAATGTAGTGTGTCAACACGACGAGAACACGAAAAATTCCATCGTAACCGACGCTCAAACTCATCGCATGAAGAAGATGATTGAGAACTCGCTTAGTCGCCTTGGGGAGTATAGCAGATAATACTGCTACAGAAATTGCCCTTGTTTTGTCTCGTAGAAGAAACGAATGTTTTGATGGCTTCATTGTTTTGTCATACATTATTTTGACTATCGCTTCGAATAAAGAGAAAATGCTCCGTATATAAGCCCCTCTATGTGCCTTGGTTTATATGTATATCTTTTGCTTGTATTGTGTACATGTTGCTATAAAGGTTTAATTACTCAAGTTTGAGGTTCCGTTAAACGTGAACCACACGATGGCATATGGTGCATCGGCCGGGAATTGAACCCGGGCCGCCCGCGTGGCAGACGAGCACTGAACCACCGGAGCGAGTAAGAGAGAGACAAGACAAAGTTAATCGCCCACTCAAACCCCAGGAGAACCCCTGGTAAAAAAACACAGCGAACAGAACGTCCATAGTGCGCTCACTGTCTACTGACACCGTCACCTCCTCTGATTTCGAATCATTGAGTTTGACGGAGGATGTCGGAGACACAACAAGAGCTGACGAAGAATCTGGCAACTCGCTTAGGGCTGAGCGGGTTGCGCTCTCAGAACGAAGTCAGAGAGGCAGACTCTGTTTCGTGGACCATATGCAAAGGCGGCAGGTCTGACCATGGAACGAGCCCTCCCGATAACACCGATGCTAGCCATGGGATTTCAGGCCATACCTCACCGGTACTTCGGAGAATCGGTGCTTGGGTTGAGAACACGCTATGCCGCCCTAAATCAAGAGAAACACTGCGCTCTGGCTGTCACTATCCATTCGACAGTAACATCTTATCAGACGCAGATGATTATGCGACCTTCCTCGGATTCAGGCGAGCATATCATGCCGCCCTGGGTATCAGCAGCTCGAGTAGTGATCACACAGACGAGCCGGACACACCAACCAGTTGCCACCACACAATTTGGCGACGTTCACGATGCAGCCTTGAGAACCACAGACTCCAGTCAGGTTTCAGGCGCTGTGCTAAACCTTGTAACGGAGCGTCAGGATGCGCAGTGCAGTGATGGGAGTCTCTTTCGAAGATGCAGCCCCAGCCAGACTCTGTTTAATGCGAAAGTCGTGGCCAGGTGGGGTCGATCCGTTGTCCGATCCGAGGTTATACCAATAGTTCCCAGACATGACGATATCTAAATGGACTCGATACATACAGCCAGCGGAGCCAACGACTTATGTGAGACCAAAGATCGAAATGGTGGTTGCGACCCTAGACGAATTTGCAGCGATCAAGACCCAGGACCGGCCCCTCACTGGGTGGTCCGCAGTTTCGAGTGCGACATTCACTGCCCGTGTGTCATTCCCATTTCTTCAAGTTCATTCCCTTTCTGGACACACGCTCATGGCAAGGGCTACTGAAGTACATCGCCATTGGCAAGCTGAACATGGACCTAATAGACCGAGAAAAGGTGACCGAGCATGGATACACCGAAAACTCTCAGTTTGACGTGGTTCTGGCTCCATATTAAATGTACACATTCCTGAACCAACGAAGGTGCTCCTCGTAGTAATTGATGCCTCCAGGCGCTCGATTGCAGATCGACTACTTATCGGCCCCTCAGGAAACTCCATCACGGTCCGGCCCTCGAAATTTGCGGCCCAGCCGTCCCAAATGATGTGGCTCCAAACATGTTAACCTCCTTGACTGGGGTATCATGGAAAAACTGGCCTTCAGCCGATCAGTTAGATGATCCTGGCGAAGATAACTGGTATCAGGCATTCAAGATGATCGAGCACTATGTTGCTGTTGAAGACGTGATCGTTATGGCTGGGTAGTTACAGCCGCGACACATTTTGAACTGGCTCCATCAATAGATGACGCGATTGATTCCGGCGACAAAACGCATCTTGGGTCGTGGCTCACGGATGTGAAGAAGTTCTCCGCTCCTTCAAGCGAGTATTACAACCTGACTTGGTACGGCAATCTCTGTAGCAGTATTATCTGCTATATATTTTGCATCTCACAAGAACAAGGACAGCAATTATGAGGGCTCGAGTTTAGGGACGCTGTAAGAAGTACGTTCTAAATTTGATTACTGGAGTAGTTGCTCGTACTAGAGTATGCATGTCTCCCTCAGTGGCCTCTTCATAGCATGATATGACTGCGAGAAATAATCGAATATACAAACGGCAGGAGAGTTGAGTCCTAGAAAGGAGTGCTCCAGACGGCTCATATTATTTTGTTTAAAATTATGTTACAGCCTGTGAAAAATTCAAAAAAAAAACAACGAAATCTCACTTCCTATTCCTGAAGGAGTGTGTAACACTTACTCTCAGCTCTACTGACTTGTGTCATCGAGAAATTCAGAATCGAAATCGTGAAATGACAGCTAGGCTTTCTATTATACATCAATGTATAATTTATGATAGCTCTCGGATTTCATAGGAATACTGCCAATCCAGTACGACGCAACTGGTGCACCGGTAAGTGATGCGAGATTAGTACCTCACCTCCACTATCTGGGGATCAAACCGGGACTGACATCCTCAAGAAAACAGAGCATTCTCGAATTCGATGTTCTCAATTAAATCCTTTACTAGGGATGAATTTTGAGAGAAGCCAGCTCGAAACATCCCTTAGGAGTAGATGGAGAAAGTAGTTCAACACAATGATCGGAAAGAAACCTCCCATGGGAGGTTATACAAAATTTTTCTGCCCTGTTTATGAGACTAAATAGTTTTTTTTTCAAAATTTTGATGGTAGAGGTAAAAATTATAGGAGAAATCGCTTTTGAAAGAAATGACAGGGAGATTTAAAGAGATAAACTTATTTCTGGAGTATGTTACTCTTTGCTCTCAAGTGGCTAATTAAAGATTGGGCCGAGCTGCCCGATGTGCACCACATAGGTCGTTATTTGATTTGAGAAAATCTGATGCTTTGAAGCGTGTTAAAACTAATTAGCTTCAAAGTCGCTAGACCGTGTCATAATACTCAATACCCAATCTACCCAACCACGATAACACCGTTCTCCTTAGACGTTTCGTGGCTACATGGGTGCGAATGGGTGTGGTGCAGTTAACTCGAAATGGTCGCTTCGCGGAGAGGGCGACGTCGCGTAAAAGGGAACGTAGCAGAATGAAGCAGAAGCAGCTCGTCGAGTAAATCACAGGGGCAAAAGAAGTAACAGTAGAGTCATGCCAAAAAACCGTAATTTCATACGGATCGAGCTGCATGAGAACTAGTTCGCGTGCGGCGACTTGATTGGAAAAAGCGATTTACCAACTCGTCGCCTAGTGTGAACGATCACAATTTGGATCTCGAAGATAGTAATGGATTCCCATTTTCAGCTATGTTCTCCCAAGCAAAGGACGGGATATCTCATGACTTGGCGAGTCCTGAAAATCTTTTACCTTTACTCACAGCCGAACTTCCCGAATCTTAGTGAATCTTTGGTGGAAAAAAATGGAATCAACCATTATTTTCAACGGTGTCTTCGAGGTCATGAAAAAGCACAATTCTGCTCCATAGGTTACAAAGAAGCAAATAAAGCTGTAGCGCTCCAGAGGCTCCGGTTCCGATTTGAGTCGATTTCAAAACAGTAAGAGAATCTGCCTATATTCAAGTTTTAGTAGGCAGCTTGTCCA